TCTACCCTGAGCCAAGAGGGCGCTGGAAACTCTCCGAAATCACAAAAGAGTTCCCTTACCGGGTCTGTATACTTTGTGACTTTGATCCCGGGTCTGTATACACTCCCTTTGCAGTTAGGTAGCATCCCTATTCTTTGAGTTGCCTATTTGGTCATCAAGACTTCCGGATTTCTTCCCAGGATGTAAACAAATGGATCATGGACTTGTAACGAACGGAACTACAAGATCACCCATGGCCCTGGCATGGAAAAGACATGAAATCGGACATGTTACAAGTAGATCTAGATCTAGAGTGGTGTAGCCCCTGCGCGTGCGCCTTCTCGGTGCGTGCACTTTTGTTTTCCTTTGTTTTTAGCCTCAAATTGCGTTTTTGCGTTTGATTGAATGCGTCAGTGTGTGCAGCAGCCATTTTTGTTTACTTCCATCACTCGTTTGCCGACAAGGAATCATCGAGAGTGTTTTTATCAGCTGTGGCAAGTTGACATTCAACGCTGACCTGTGAACTAGTTTTTATGACCTATTTGCCTATGATTGGTTCAAATAGACTGTGCGCGCCCCCTAGCTTAAAAAATGTGCCTACTCCTTCCTTGAGTGTTTCACGTGACCTTTTATCGAGTTCTATGCCAAGTTGTAATGCGGGTTTCGGGATCGGGGGGGTGCACGCGTTGTGAAGACTGAAAAAACTCGAGTTTTCTCTGCCCGTGCACAATGAAATATATAGTAGAATACTAAGAAAAAAAGTAGACTCAATTTTAGAGATTATTTGGTTGCAGTTTGAAGAATGTCATGGATGGTGGCATGTGGACTGTGTGAAAGATGGAAAGATCAGAGGAATGAGTGATGAAGAGTAAGAAAATGTGGATTTTAGTTGTGAAAAAATCTGTTTGATTTTTTTTCACTATGTATTTGAACTATTTATACCCCCTAAATTAAATTAGTTTAGATTCTAATTAAAATTGCCTTACTTTGCTTCTAAAGTGACTTGTTATCTTCCTGTGTGGTCATTTAATGCAGTAATGTTATCAGATTCCTCTTCTTTTGGCTTTCAACGTGTGTATATATGGGTGCACGCTCAGTGAAGAATCCCATGCACGCAGTGAGAAGAAATGCACGCTCAGTGAAGACAACACCCTAGGTTGGAAAAACTGTTGGGCACACAACGTTTAAGAAATCTGGCGACTATGAGCAAGACCATTTTATAGGTCAATAGTTTCTTGAATGGAATAGCTAAAAAAAAAGAACAAAACCGGAAACGGCGGAAAATACGTTCAACGATCGCGAAGTGCACGCGTACCGGCGACACCACTCTAGGCCTAGATTCAAGATCTAGATCTAGATGAAAGTGGCTATTCTCACCCGCCGGAAGTTCTCGCAAGATCAACTCCTCCCCTCTTCTCTCTCTCTCTGTCTCTTTCTGAATACTGTCTATCGGTGTGGACGATCAAATTGACCAAAACAAAGTTAAAAAATGATGTTAAAACACAAAAGTAAATTAATTTGGTTGTCTACAAAGATGCTACGGCTATTTAACTTTTCGAATCGAGCCGAACTACGCGGGTCGCCATTTTGTTTTGCCCGGAAATTCTTGCGCTACTCCTCTCTCTCTTTCTCTCTCTCTCTCCACTGCCCACAGACAAAATTGTACGCTTTTAGTAGGCTACAGCTGTAATGGAACGTTTGTTCACGGCACAGAATTCTACAATTTTTCTGTTATCACTGTGTAGAATTCTGTGGTTTAGGGTGAACGCAAAATTTGGTGAACGCGCACCGGGTGAGAATAGCCACAAGACTCGCCTGCACTATTCTCACTCCGGGTGAGAATAGAGGTGGCCGATCTAGATTTCTAGATCTAAATCTAGAGTGGTGTAGCCCCTGCGCGTGCGCCTTCTCGGTGCGTGCACTTTTGTTTTCCTTTGTTTTTAGCCTCAAATTGCGTTTTTGCGTTTGATTGAATGCGTCAGTGTGTGCAGCAGCCATTTTTGCTTACTTCCATCACTCGTTTGCCGACAAGGGATCATCGAGAGTGTTTTTATCAGCTGTGGCAAGTTGACATTCAATGCTGACCTGTGAACTAGTTTTTATGACCTATTTGCCTCTGATTGGTTCAAATAGACTGTGCGCGCCCCCTAGCTTAAAAAATGTGCCTACTCCTTCCTTGAGTGTTTCACGTGACCTTTTATCGAGTTCTATGCCAAGTTGTATTGCGGGTTTCGGGATCGGGGGGGTGCACGCGTTGTGAAGACTGAAAAAACTCGAGTTTTCTCTGCGCGTGCACAATGAAATATATAGTAGAATACTAAGAAAAAAAGTAGACTCAATTTTAGAGATTATTTGGTTGCAGTTTGAAGAATGTCATGGATGGTGGCATGTGGACTGTGTGAAAGATGGAAAGATCAGAGGAATGAGTGATGAAGAGTAGGAAAATGTGGATTTTAGTTGTGAAAAATTCTGTTTGATTTTTTTTCACTATGTATTTGAACTATTTATACCCCCTAAATTAAATTAGTTTAGATTCTAATTAAAATTGCCTTAATTTGCTTCTAAAGTGACTTGTTATCTTCCTGTGTGGTCATTTAATGCAGTAATGTTATCAGATTCCTCTTCTTTTGGCTTTCAACGTGTATATATGGGTGCACGCACAGTGAAGAATCCCATGCACGCACTGAGAAGAAATGCACGCTCAGTGAAGACAACACCCTAGGTTGGAAAAACTGTTCGGCACACAACGTTTAAGAAATCTGGCGACTATGAGCAAGACCATTTTATAGGTCAATAGTTTCTTGAATGGAATAGCTAAAAACGAAAGTACAAAGCCGGAAATGGCGGAAAATACGTTCAACGATCGCGAAGTGCACGCGTACCGGCGACACCACTCTAGATCTAGATTCTAGATCTAAATCTAGTAGACTTTGGCTTTGGGAATTTAATGTGCTAAAGTAAAAGATTGCCTCACTCAACAGCGACTGTGACAGGTGAAAGAGTGTCAATCCGATTCCCCCCCCCCCCCCCCCGCCCTTTCCCCATCCCATCAGAATGAAAAAGCATGATCTAATGACAATGTGATAATGCCCCCATGATGCCATGCAGCAATGCAATAGCAGTGCTGATTCAAGACTTGAACAATACACTAGATCTAGATTTAGACTTGAGATCTACCTTTCAATGATGGTCGCTGCACGATCAACGAAAGCGTCTGAGGGTCAGTCAAGAATTTCTTCACTGCCTCTAGATGCTGCTTGTCTGCAACAGCATTTTGCAAAGCCTTCAAGTTCGGGTCTTCGTCATCCAGCAAAACTGGCACGATCCGTCGCAAGTAACTCAGAAAGGCTGGAACTTCCACAGACTGCACGACAGCTGGAGCCGGCGGAGCTCCCGCCTCTTGCTCAGCTGTGTCAGCCATAGTGACTGAACTTGAAAACAAACAACTTGATCAAGTACCTCCTTGTCAAATTGTGAATATTATGTACGGTCGAAATCAATAAACACTGCTGGTTGTGACTCAGACAAAAGTGTGAGCTGGAAACCGGAGGAGCCCGGAAGTCGGAAGTCCAGACAGATCAATCGGGCCAGGTTAGGCCTAGGCCTTGCAGAGCAGACTCTGTGACCTGTGAGGGGCGGCAAGCAAGCGGCCTCCGCCTTCTGCAAACATCCGGGCTTTTCCCAATGATCTCATTGTGGCTATCGTCACTCTATCGGTTGGCTTGGCTATGGCCTAGGCCTAGGCTTTCTCAGGCCCAAGGAGTTTACAATAAGCTCCTTGCCTAAGCCCTGACTTGCTCACTTTCGTCTGTCTGCGTTAAGAAATTCTAGGTCTAGCTCATTTATTAATTTACCTATGCCTATGCCCTCGAAACTTTGCATAGCACTTCTGCAGACCAACGATCTAACAAAAGAAATCTAGATTTAGATTCAATAATTGTTCTTTTAAGTTTCGCTATGTGGGCCCTGTAATAATAGCCTAATGACTAATAATATTGTTATATTATTAAAACCGGTCATTGGGTGCAAACACAAAATAATTAAACGTAAAAGAACAGTAAGAAGTTTTTAGATAAGGGATATTGTTAATGAAGTTTGTTTAAATAGGCCAGTGCCTAGGGGATTCGAGACATCCACTTTGAATGGGGAAAAAAGGGG